ACTTATATTTGAATTTTTATAGCAGTTGGAGTAATATTTATTGCATACGAGCATTTTTTTATTTTAATATTAACTTAAAATTTACGTTTTTTGTTTATTAAATTCGGAGCGTAATTTGGGCATTTTAGTCAAATGAAATCACCTTTTTAAGCTTAAGTAATATTGTTCGGCGAGATCGAAACTACCTGAATATTAATTTTCATAAGAATCAGTTTAATATTTACGGAATACGAGCAATTTTCGCACTTTTAATTTTTTTTTATTTTCCCGATCAGTGATTATAGGGCGTAATTTGGGCACTTTGGTCAAATGAAATCACTTTTTCATGCTTAAGTAAAGTTGTTCGGCAAGGTCGAAAATATTTAGATAAATATTTTCATAGCAGTTGGATTAATACTTATGGGGTACGAGCATTTTTTCATAATAATACCAATTACGAATTTATTTTTTTTAAAAAAAAATTAATTAGATTTTTTTAAAGAAAGTAAGTGAATAATAGTTTCGAAGTAAAGTTAAAGATGTGTGTCTTTAAGATTTTTTTTATAGTATTTTTGTAATTCAAAGTACTTTTTTACTAATAAAAGTTATTTATCTTTAAAGAATAAGAATTAATAGTAAAAATAAAAAATTTTTAAAATTTATTGTAATGATTATAAAATATTTTGTTTATTTAATATTTAAAAAAATTTAGGTCTCTGAAAATCTAAGGTAAAATTTAATATAATTTTAAAAGGTCACTATATATATATGGTAAAATTATGAGATAAGAAAGGTTGGTAAAATTACTAGTAAATCTGAAATTTTGCCTGGAGACCTTTATTAGAAGTAAGCGGGATCCTAGTCAAACAGATAACTTGATATAACCTGACCTGACCTGAAAAAAAATTTTAGATCAGATTTATCAATTAACCTGACCTGACTTGACCTATTCGGAACTCTAATAGGATCCCGAACAATATATATAAAGGTAGGTTTTGAGTTTGCTTAACCAACATATAAAAATTTTTCCTATGTGAGATTTATTATTGCTTATTTGATAACATAATTTTTAAATAGTCAGATATAATTATGCGTAGCAGAGTATTAAATTATTAATAGTCAGATATATATTTGCGTAGCAGGATAGATTTTTTTAATATACAGTGACACCTCTCTAAGTGCACCCCCTTGGGACCATAGTAAAAAAATAGTAGAATGTGCACTTAGAGAGGGTGTGCATTTATAGAGAGTAAAATATTAAGAGCTCTTATAAGTTGGGATCAGGTCCACCGTGCACTTAAAGAGAATTTATATAGTGCGTGCACTTATAGAGGGTGCACTTATAGAGGTGTCACTGTATATATATAATATAATATATATTTACATTTTTTACATTAAAAAAATCTAATAAAATATGTAAACAAAGTTATAAACATGTTTGTGTAAAAAAAATTTACTATTTTTAATACAAAGAATAAGTTAATTGTATACGTAATACAGGAACCATTTTTAGATGTGATTGTGTAATGTGTTTTTGATGAAATAAATACGCGTCTGCATAACATTAGAATTATAAATCATATACGTGTCCATGTAACAGTAAAAAATTATATATTAAAAATAAGAGCAACGGGTGGGTGGGAAGGGAAAAATAAGTGTTTTTCTGTTTTTTTATAATTTTACACTATAATTTTTGTAATAATCAATAAAAGTTATTTCATTTTTACTTAGAAAATTTTTTAAAAATATTTTTTTTGACAAATTTTACAGTAAATTTTAAAAATAAAAATTCCGCGTATTGGTGGCGTTACAACAAACATGAATAAATCCATAAATATCTATTCAATCATGATATAAATTTATATGTAAGTAGATTTGAACCTGCTGAACAACTTACTTAAGAAGGTTTTGGATGTTTCCTTTGACCATAGTGCCTAAATTACACTCTGAAGTCACAGAACAGATATACGAAATATTAATAAGAAACATTTATAAGTTGTAATATTAAAAAAAAATAATAATAGCTTTATCCATACATTATTTCAAAAATTTTTGTTTTTTTAGTTTTTTTTATATATATATTTTATAAAAAAATTATATATAAATATATATATGTCATAAAATAAATTGCTTAGCAGTGTAAAAAATTTATGGGTTAGATAAAAGTTTGCTTAGCAGACATGAAAAATATTTGCTTATTGACCTTAGTAAATTTTGAATTTTTTATCTGACCTATATATATATTGTTCGGGTCCTACTCTAATCATAAATAATGATAATGCCATATCATATCAATTTGTTTTATAGGTATCATCTGTAATAACCACATCATGAAATGTCATTCAAAGTTGAACTTGTTATGGCAACATCCATAGAACACTTTCTAAATGAAAATCATTTCCAATTATACATGTTTCAATTACCTAACCTGGATCTTCCTTTTGAAGGTTATACAAATCTTGTAACATATTTTCTGCATCATCTTTTTCTTCTATTTGCTTACATCTTCTGACTTCTTGTATTGCATTTAAGGTTGCTGGTAGTGATCTGATCCTAAATCCGTTTAATCCGGATAGATTTTCAATCCAGATTAAATTCGGATATCTGCATCCTATAATTTTAAAAGAGTTTTAAAAGGATGATCTGTTAAATAATCTGGATGACTATCATCTGGATGACCATCCGGATGTTCAATGTTTGATTTTTTCCTGAAGTTTTCCATTTTATCGTTTATAAAAAAATTTCATGAAATGGGGCGGTTATACAACCCCTTTTTATTTCCTTCTTTACTAATACTGAATTTTTTTTCTCAAATTTCTTTGAAATGTAATTACTCTAATAAATAAAATACAAAATATTAAAAATAAAATAGATGATTTTAACTATATTCAAAGTGATGATTTTAATATTGACA